GTCCCTGCCCCCTGTGCTGCTGGGGGGAGGCAGTAGAGCCGGGAGGAAAAGGAAAGGGAGGGGGGGAAGGTGTCGGTTTTAAGATCTGGTTTTGTTTCTTTCTGTCCTCTCGAGTAATCAGTTTTTGTTTCCCTTTGTCCTTCTAAGTAATCATTAATAAACTGTTTTGCTTTGAGAAAGCCCTGTCTGTTTTGCCCAGGACCATGGTTGGTGGGTGCTCCCTCTGTTCTTGTCTCAACCCTCAGTCCCTTTGGTGTTTTTTTTTTTTCTCTCCTCTCTACTTTACTGGAGAAGGAGAGACTGTGTGAGTTTTAGTTGCTGGATCAGCCTAAAACCACGACAGGGCACCATCCAGCTTTGTAGTATTACTAAACCTTTTGGACATGGGATTTTAGGGGTGAGGCCTTTCTCCATCCTGACAAACTTACCCTAATCCTGGAGGGGAAGGGTGGCTGAAACCTACCCTTGACAGACTTGACCCCACAGTGAAAAACTGCAGCAGGTAGTAAACCAGCTCTCCCCCACACACCCAGGGGATGTGGAGCAGCCTGGAATCCTGGTCAGTAGTAGAATTACCTGTGGGTGCTGGAAACTGTTGTGCTGATTGAGTGGCTGTTCATCAAGGGCAAGCTGGGGCGTGCTGGAGCCGTTTGAGTTTAGGATCTCAAGGGGCTCCAGGTCAGTCATTTTCCTGTTGTGATCCTGTAAAGAAAGATCCGCTGTGGGAAGGCTTCCAGATTTGACAAGAGGGCAGAACCCACAGGTGCAGTTTGGGGAAATGGCAAAAACGGACCTGTCTCAGACTTAACCACATAGAATCAAAAGTGCAAGAAACAGTTGCTACTCTTGCAAAGATTACCGTCCAGTTCCATCTACTGAAAGTTTGATCCATTCTAACCTGTTGCTAAAGTCCTCACATTTCTCTCCCTGACAGTTACAAGGCTTGTTTTGCTCTTCCTGTTAGCAGATTGATGCCAACCCTCCATTCCTACTTGTGTGACACTTCCACGTGTGACAAAATTATAGGGACGTGCAATTTCTGCTTATAAACTTGCTCATGCACCTGGATTTTCTGTCCGTGCTCACAGGAGATATTTCAACAGGAGCCTTTACCAGCGCTAACTCTCTCCTGGGCCACACAAGCTCACTTTTAGACTGTGATCCTCCAGCACCAGAGAGAATGTGGCTGCTTTTACACAAAACATCAGCTGAGCTTCTCTGGCCCCTTGCACAACAGAGTGGGAAGTAGCTCTGAAGCCGGGAGTTACTGCCTCACCCACTGGGAAACTCAGCAAAGAGTGTGGAGTGTGTACAGCTCCAGTACTGATCTCTGAGGAACACCACTCGTCACTGGCCTCCACTTGGATATTGAACCGCTGACCACAACTCTTTGAGTGCGACCATCCAGCCAATTTCTTATCCACCGAGTGGTCCATCCATCAAATCCATGTCTTTCCAGTTTAGAGACAAGGATGTCGTGTGGGACAGTGTCAAATGCTTTAGACAAGGCCAGGTAGATAATGTCAGTTGGCCTTTCCTTATCCATCTTCTACGAGCTACTCATCGTAGAAAGCCACCAAATTTGTTCAGGCACAATTTGTCCTTAGTGACGTTGGCTGTAGCAAATCACCTCCTTTCTTCTTGTGTGCCTTAGCATAGTTTCCAGGAGGATTTGCTCCGTGATCTCGCTGGGCACAGAGGTGAGACTGACCAGCTTGTAGTTCCCCAGGCCTTTGTTTTTGCCCTTTTTAAAAATAGGAGCTATATTTCCTCTTTTCCAGTCAGTGGGAACTTCACCAGACTGCCATGACTTCTGAAATATGATGGATGGTGGCTTAGCAACTTCATCTGCCAGCTCCCTCAGGACCCGCAGATGCACCTCATCAGGTCCCATGGACTTGCTCGCCTTCAGGTTCTTTAGATGGTCTCAAACCTGATCTTCTCCTACAGTGGGTGGTTCTTCATTCACCCAGTCCCTGCCTTTGCCTTCTGGGATCCGGACAATGCAGCTAGAGCACTTGCCAGTGAAGACCGAGGCAAAGACGTCACTGAATACCTCAGCCTTCTCCATATCCTGGGTAACCAGGTCTCCCGTTTCCTTCCAGAGAGGGTCCACATTTTCCCTAGTCCTCATTTTACTGCCAATGTACCTACAGAAGCTTTTCTTGTTGCCCTTGATGTCCCTGGCCAGACTTAACTCTATTAGGGCTTTAGCTTTGCTAACCTGATCTCTGGTTGCTCGGACAATTTCTCAGTATTCTTCCCAGGCTACCTGTCCTTGCTTCCACCCTCTGTAGGCTTCCTCTTTGTGTTTGAGTTGGTCCAGGAGTTCCCTGTTCATCCATGCAGGCCTCCTAGTGTTTCTGCCTGACTTCCTCTTTGTTGGGATGCACCACTCCTGAGCTTGGAGGAGGTGATTCTCGAATATTAACCAGCTTTCTTGGGCCTCTCTTACCTCTAAGGCTTTACGCCATTGTACTCTACCAAGCAGATCTCTGAAGAGGCCAAAGTCTGCTCTCCTGAAACCCAGGGTAGTGAGCTTGCTGAGTGCCCTCCTTGCCACCCTAAGGATCTTGAATTCCACTATTTCACGGTCACGACAGCTACAGCACATTAAAGCACTATGACCCTCTCTTGCTCTGCATAGCATTCATGTGCTTTACCTGCTCTTCATTGTGTTTGTCTTGAAGCATCATCTGGACTGTTTCCAAATTGCATTTCACTTCCTTCAGCTTCAAGGAAAGAGCCTCTGTCTCTTGTTGGTAGTTTGCACTATCTCCACAGTATTCCAGTGAAGAAAGGACACTTTGTTCAGTCTCTGAAGATGGCACCTAGAAGGGACACCAGTCAAACATTCATTCTGAGAAGTACAACACTCCTTTCCTGATAAAATTCTGAAGCCAATGCTCACATTTGCCCTGTCTGAAAAGAATACAGGCAAAAGAGAAATATCTGAAAACCCCCTATATTTTCTCCAACATAGAAATTGTTTATTCTGAACAATGAAATACATTTTATACAGATTTGGTCTTAAAACTGTTTCAAACAATAGCCTCTGCAGGAAGTTATATTAACTCAGATGCGGAGTAATAAAGAGGAGAGCTGAAATTATAGACTCCATTCAGATGCAACCAAGAAGACAACACACCACAAATGGGCGAGAAGGAGGCAGTGCACAGACTGATCTAGTGCACAGACATGCTATTTCATAGAATCATAGAATGGCATAGGCTGCAAGGGACCTTAGAGATCATCTAATCCAACCTCCCTGTCATGGGCAGTGTGTGTTCAGCTCCAACAGTCAAATATGCTTTACATGGGCTCTAGGTCACACCGAGAAAAAAAGTATATTTATAAGTATGTCTTGTGTAATTCCTTCTTCTTATTTGCCCTCCTTTAAGAAGCAATAGTGCACACTTCCGTAATAAGGAGAAGCCTAAAGTGCTTGGAGATATCAGCAGTTGCTTGGAAGGCTGTACAGGTCTGTATACACCTCCATACATGCAAATTTTGGTACTCAGTAAGCAAATCAAGGACAACACCACCACAAGAACAAAACTACCTGTACACTCCCAGGGCTCTAGAGCATAAATTCAGGCAGCCGAGATGATCAGTGATAGTGCACAAGCTCTGTGTTAAAATGAGATTTTGCAGAAAAGCAGAGAACAAAACCACATTGTTTCAGCTATCAATGCCTTACTTCAGCTGTTGCTGTTCTTCTTCGCCTCTGAGATAGTATGGGGCAGTGCCATTAAACACAGAAAGTAAAGCTGAGTATACAGATCCCAGAACGGTTTGAATATGCCTACCGAGGTATACACGACTGCAGAAATACAAAAGTACCAGTTTACTTCAACCTCCACCTGACATTTCCAGCTCTAACTCTAAGCCTGTTAGGTTTAGTGCATTCATTTAAATAACAAAACACCACACACATGTAATCCTGTGCGTGACACCCTTTTGTCGCACACGGACGTGCACATGAGCACTTAGTTTACACTCACGGCATGTTCTGCCCCACCCCAGCTGGACATTGCTACTGCAGTAAACTTTATCCCCTTCCTCTACAGAAACAGAAAGTCAGATATAGAGTCAAATTACAACCTGCTGGCCGCACTTCTTTGGATGCAGCCCAGGCTGGCTTTCTGGACTGCAAGCACATGTTGTCGGCTCACGCCCAGCTTTTCATCCATCAGTATTCTCAAGTCGTCTTCCTCCTCAGGGCTGCTCTAAACCTTTTCATCCTCCAGCCTGTATTGATACCGGTGGTTGCCCCGACTCATGTGCAGGACCTTGCACGTGACCTCGTTGAACCTCATGAGGTTCACACGAGCCCACTTCTCGAGCTTTTCCAGGTCCCTTTGGATGGAAAACCATCCCTCAAGCGTGTCAACCACACAGCTCAGCTTGGTGTCATCTGCAAGCTTGCTGAGGGTGTGCTCAATCCCACTGTCTGTGTCATTGATGAAGATATACAGGAAGGCTGGGGAGGGACTTTTTACAAGAGTGTCCACTGATAGGACAAGGAGAAATGGGTTTAAGTTGAAGGAGAACAGATTTAGATTAGATTTTAGGAAGAAATTCTTCAGTACGAGGGTGGTGAGACTTCGGAATAGATTGCCCAGAGAGGTTGTGGATGCCCCCTCCCTGGAGGTGTTCAAGGCCAGGTTGGACAGAGCCTTGAGTAGTCTGGTCTAGTTGAGAGGTGTCCCTGCCCATGACAGGGAGGTTGGATTAGATGATCTCTAAGGTCCCTTGCAGCCTATGCCATTCTATGATTCTAGGATATTAAACAGTACTGGTCTCATTACAGACCCCTGAGGGACACCACTTGTTACCCATCTCCATCTGAACTTTGAGCCGTTGACCACTACCCTCTGGATGCAGCCATCCAATCAATTCCTCATCCATCAAATCCATCTCTCTCCAATTTAGAGAGAAGGATGTTGTGGGAAGCCATGTCAAAGGTCTTACAGAAGCCCAGACAGATGACATCCATAGCTCTTCCCTTGTCCACTGATGTAGTTATTCCATCATAGAAGGCCACTGGCTTGGTTAGGCAAGACTTGCCCTTAGTGAAGGCATGCTGGCTGTCTGGAGTCACCTTCCTGTCTTCCATGTATCTTAGCATAGCTTCTAGGAGAATCTGTTCCATGTGCCATCTTCTCAGGCACAGAGGTGAGGCTGACAGGTCGAGAGTTCCCAGCATCCTCCTTTCTATCCTTTTTTAAAAAGTTTCCTTTTTTCCAGTCACCAGGGATTTCACCTGACTACCACGACTTTTCAAACACCATGGACAGTGGCTTGGCAACTGCATCAGCCAATTCCCTCAGGACACTGGGATGCATCTCATCAGGTCCCACAGACTAACGTATATTCAGGTTGCTCAGATGGTCATGAACCTGACCTTCTCTTACAGTGGGAGGGACTTTGGTCCCCCAGTCCATGTCTTGTGGTCCATCTACTTCAGAGGTGTGGGAAGAGAGGTTGCCAGTGAAGACTGACACGAAAAAGTTGAGTACCTCAGCCTTCTCCTTGTCTGTTTTTACCAGTTTGCCAGTTGTGTTCATTGGGGGGGGCACACTTTCTTTGACCTTCTTTTTCTGGCTGACATACCTACATACACCCTTCTTACTATTCTTTCCATCCCTTGCTGAGTTCAGCTCCAGCCACCTGTTGGCCTTCCTGACCCCATCCCTACATGGCCAGCCAGCATCCCTATATGCTTCCCAGGATACCTGTCCTTGCTTCCACTGCCTCTGCATTTCCTTCTTGCCCTTTAGTTTGACCAGCAGGTCTCAACTCAGCCATGTCAGTCTTGCCTTCCTTTCCTGATTTCTTACACCTGGGGATCAAGAGCTCTTGTGCTCTATGGAAAGCATCCTTAAAGATCTGCCAGCTCTGTTCTGCTATCTTGTCCCTGGCAGCAGTTTCCCAGGGGGTTCTATTGACTAACTCCTTGAACAGCTGGAAGTTTGCTTTCCTAAAATTTAGAGCCCTGACTTTACTTTTTGCCTGACCCACATCACTCAGGACTTCTAACTCCATCAGTGCATGATCACTGCAGCCCAGGCTGCCTCCAATCTTGATGTCACTGATTAGCTCAGTTGCATTGGTGACCATCAGATTCAGTATCACATCCCTTCTGGTAGGACTGTCTATTGCCTGGCTGAAGAAGTTATCCTCAATGCACTCCAGGAGTCTCCTGGATTGTCGACAGCTTGCCATGCAACTTTTCCAGAAGATGTCTGGGTGGCTGAAGTCCCCTAGCAGGAAGAGAGCCTATAACCACGATGCCTCCTGTAGCTGAAGCAAGAAGCCTTCAGCAATAGGCTCCCCTTGATTGGACGGCCTGTAGTAGACACCGACCACAAGGTTCCCTTTGTCGCCTCAGTCTCTAATGCTTACCCATAAGCTCCTATTACCTCAAGAGCCTCTGGCTCATCTGCAAAAGACTTCAAGTGCGCTCTAGCGCACCCAGCACGTCTCAGAGCAACAGACTGAGGGCCCTCGCTAGCACCCCATCTCTCTAACCTTGGCATGTCATCCCACAGTTTGTCATGGGCAAACCTGATACTACCCTTCTCTCCCTTAAAGTCTAGTTTAAAGCTCTGTCAATGAGCCTCACTAGCTCACGAGCAAAGACTCTCTTCCCCCTTTGAGAAAGGTGAATTCCATCCAACACCAGCAGGCCTGGTGCCGTGTAGGCTATCCCATTATCGAAAAACGCAAAACTGTGGCAGTGACACCAGCCATGAAGCCACATATTAATAGACTGGGTCCATCCGTTTCTTCCAGTGTTGCTACTGGCAACTGGAAGGACAGAGAAAAAATAACTTGTACTCCAGATTCCCTTACCAACCATCCCAAGGCCCTCAAGTCTCTTTGATCATCCTTCAACTATAAGTTGTAGCTTCATCGCCACCCATATGGAAGAGCAATAACAGGTCCAAGGGCTGTACCCCGATAGGAAGTTTCCTAGTGATGTTCTTAATCCAGGACCGAGGGAGGCAGCAGACTTCCCTAAGAGGAGAGTCTGTCTGCCATATTGGACCCTCTCTTCTCCTCAGAGGGGAGTCACCTACAAGTATAACCCATCTTTTTTTCCTTGTCCAGTAATTCGAATGTTTCTCTGAATCCTACAGTGTGTTCTTGGCTGCTATAACTGAATTTGGAACCAGCTACATTTGCATGGGAGGGACAACACACCAGAAGGATGCAATGGTATCCTTTAGCAATGACCAAGATAGTAGGAATTATTTAATTTTAACATGCAGTTAAGCTTTAAATAGAGAACATAAATATATTTGGCTCCATAAATCTCTACACATACACACATCTCTAGGGAAAACAAACAGATTTACCATTTATAAAAATAAATGTCTTCCTGTCTCCAAATAGTAATTGATCTTGTAAATAAATCATTTAACAAAACAAAACAAAAAATCACTTGCTACAGGCAGTTGTGTAGCATACGGAAATGTCACAGAGTAGCAAAACACTAAGTGGAAAAGATGTTGCAAGCGAAAAAGCTGTCTGGTATGGTTTGAGGAAAGAAGACCTCCTCTAAGAAACCGGGCTACTCGAGCAGAGAAGGGCCCCGGCTCGCAGCCTGGCAGCACGCTCTCCACAGAGCATTGAGCTGCCGTGCCTGGCTGAAGAAACCGTTCCACTCAACTTCAGTATTGCTGGGTCCGACAGGCTGTGGGTGCCCCTGAAGGCAAGATGCTGACAAAACACAATGGTGGCACACAGAGGTGCCAGGAGGGCGTATGTTGTCTTGTAAGGCTCCTGGAAACCCAAAACGTTCAGCCGGAGGCTGAATATAGGTGTTTAAAATATAGGTGCCTATTCTCTTGAACACAGGTGTTTAAATTCCCTTTATCCTCAATGGAGATTTACTCAGTGCAGCCAGGGGTTCAGCTCAGCCTAACACAGCCACGTTGTGTTAGGCTGTGCTTGGGTACCGCAGTGACTCCATCTCCTGCGGCTGCAACGGCAGCTTAGACATGTCCTGCACATGCGGAGACCCGCAGCATCACAGCGTAGCGGAGAGAAAACACAGAGTTCACACATGCAATTATGTCATAAATAAATAATACGTGCACATAAGGCTATTTCTCATAATACCAACACGGAACATATTGTGCTGCTGGCTGGGTCCTAATAGTTTGCTACGGTTTTTCAACTATAAATTAAAGGTTGAGCATGATGGAAGGAGTCAGGAGGAATGGGAGACAAAGTGACCTTAGGGCCTGCTCCTGCCTCAGGAGGCAGATTCTGTCTTCCACAATCTAAACCCAGGTAGCGCTGAGGCTGCTCTGCTGCCAGTTTGCTGCTCCTGGCCTTCCTGAAGCATTCATGTCTGTGTCCATATGCTCTTGGGTATATAATCTCTAGGCTGCTGCCCACTCCTCCCTTACCCTTTGCATGCCTTCCACAAAGCAGTAACATATAGGAGTGTCAATCTCCTTAATTTCTCCTTTAATAGCCACTTAAAAATCCCATAGTTGATGTATGTTTACATCACTTGAATGCCTCCATTCATGCCCATATGAATGTCAGCATCTTGAAAGAGGGCAGATTTAGATTAGATATAAGGAAGAAATTCTTCGCTCTGAGGGTGGTGAGGCACTGGAACAGGTTGCCCAGAGAAGCTGTGGATGCCCCATCCCTGGAAGTGTTCAAGGCCAGGTTGGATGAGGCTTTGGGCAACCTGGTGTAGTGGAAGGTGTCCCTGCCCACGGCAGGGGATTTGGAACTAGATGATTCATAGATTCATAGATTTCTAGGTTGGAAAAGACCTCAGAGAGCATCGAGTCCAACCGTCCCTAATCCCCATTAAACCATATCCCTAAGTAGATCATCCACCCTATTCTTAAACACATCCAGGGATAGGGACTCAACCACCTCCCTGGGCAGCCTATTCCAGTGGCTGACAACCCTTTCAGAGAAGAAATACTTCCTAACATCCAACCTGAATCTCCTCTGACTAAGCTTATATCCATTTCCTCTTGTTCTGTCACCCATCACTAATGTAAAGAGCCCTTCCCCTAACTCCCCACCATCCCTTCTCAAGTATTTGTAGGCTGCAATCAGGTCTCCCCTCAGCCTCCTCTTCTGCAGGCTAAACAGCCCCAACTCCCTCAGCCGCTCCTCATAAGTTTTATTTTCCAGCCCCTTGACCAGTTTAGTCGCCCTTCTTTGGACTCGCTCCAGGAGCTCAATATCTCTCTTAAAGCGAGGGGCCCAAAACTGGACAAAATTATCTTTGAGGCCTCTTCCAACCCAAACCATCCTATGACTCTATGATTCTATGACCTTACTTCCTAAAAATACTTCACTTTTTTCCCTAGCAAATTGCATTTTCAAGGAGCAAATCACAATGTATTTATTACCACCCAAAGTAGCAACATGAAGAGGCCCACCAAAAGTTGTAGGTATCCTACCACATCATACGCACTGCAACAAACTCCAGTAGCGTAACCATAATGACACAGGGCCTCTGCCCACTAGGTAGGTTATATGACGAGCTCAGAAGGTCACCTCGTTGAGCCTGCTTCAGGCCTTCAAACTCACCATAGCTGGACTGTCATCACCTGTGCCAGGGCCTTCAGTGCTCTGCAAAGTTTGCATAGATGTTTCCTCACCATGTTTACTGTGTGATTCCATTATCTCATTAGCATCCTAGAGAGAGAGAGAGAGAGAGAGAGAGGCAAGAGTGGAAGTATTTGTATCATTAGTAGTGCAGATGTGTAGTAGTGCAGATGTGGCACTTAGGGACATGGTTAAGAGGTGGACTTGGCAGTGTTAGGTTTACAGCAGGATTCGATGATCTTAAAGATTTTTTCCGACCTAAACTATTCCATAATTCTATAATTATTGCCTTTTCGTGCTAGAGAAGCCTCAAAGGGCAGCAACCACTCAACCTATAGTGGTCCTGGCCCAAGAGTATTCACAGAAAGAAGTTCTCTTATGCCTGTAACATTGACATACAGAAACAAACAATTGCAGCTATCACAACATTATTGAGACATCATGAAGAATAGAGCAGAATGCCACCAAAATTGCAGCCGATTGGGTGTCTTAGATGCTGATCTTCTCACGTGCAAACAGAACGTCTTCCACAAATCATCCCCCAACAAAATGCACATTTTTAAGGCCTTTCCAGGAATTAGTGATGCAAATTGCTGCTATTAAATGTGCACTTCTATCGTTGGGGGTTTTGTCAGGCTAGGTGAAATTGATATAGAATCATAGAATCATTTAGGTTGGAGAAGACCCTTAAGGTCACCGTGTCCAATCAACATGTGCAACAGGAAAAGGGATTTTAAACGGCCAGATTTAGTGAGATATGGAAGACAGAGGATCTGAATAAGGCCATCATGTCCTGCATTTCTACAGTTCTCTTGCTTTGCAGACTTTAATAGTACCTAAGACTTGTGTAGATCTTTTCCACAAAGATGAGTTCCCATCCCTGTGGAGATAAACCTGAGTGCATTACCTGAACAATGCCATCCGACAAGGTACCAGAAGACCAGGAGGTTGCACTGTCTTCCTTATGCCTTTCATCACCTCTTTCTGAAGGCCAAAAGCTTGCATCTTTCTCTGTGGCTGTACTTCCCTTTGAAAGCAGTAACAGCTCAGCATTAGCTTGTGAACAGGAAGCTCAGATATTTCTTCAGGCAATGTAAATTACTGTAAACCTTTAGTAACACTTTGCTCTATTTCTGCTTTGTTTATCTATCTTTATTGTGTTTCCCAAATCCCACCTCTTCCCTTGCTCTATAGCTCTGCTGCAAGATGAACGGCAGCTGGATGACACTGACCGTTTTCTTTAAAGACTTCAGAGTATCCTCTTTTTTTAACACAACTTAAAAAAAAACAAAAAAAAAAATCAAGAAAGAACCTTTCTCCTGTCCTGTTCCCTAAAAAGTCCTGTATGTAAAGAAAACTGCACCAATGAAGGGGCAGAATCAGAAACCTTGGAACCGAAGTGTTTGGATCAGTGTGGTATGAAACCACCTCTATCCAAGCTGTTGAGACTTCTTCACGCTGTCTAGCCATGGAGTTTGGTCTTTGCTTAGCCTAAAGCAACCCCTTCAACACTCTGTCACCTCTTTGCCACGTTTCCTTTCTATTCATGTTGCAAGGATGTAGCAAAAGGGCTCATTAATATCCACAGCGAGGACTGCAGAGAAACGGACGTTCTTCAAACCTTGGTTGGGGCCATGGTCTCTCGCAGGAGATGCAGATGACAGTAGCTGATCACTACCAGCCCAGGCAGTCTGTGAACTGCTGTACAAGCAGGTAGCTGGGCTACAAGCACACCAGCACTTTTGCACATTTCCGATTTCATTAAAATACATTTTGGTTAGTTCCTAGGGTGCAGAAAGTTTAATGGATTTTTTTCTTTTTCCCAAAAGCTATTAACTTTACTCCCAGCTTTGCTCCTCTGCAGTTCACCTGGGCATTCAGATTCCCCACAATCAGAGCAACTTGTTGAGCAGTGTCTCCCAGTTTCTCCTATTCTCCCAGAAATCTATCCTATCTTAACTTCATTCCCAATAGTCTGATCATGCCCTTTTTTCCTTAAGCTCAAACACACAAAGCATTTTAATTGTTTCTTTCAAGTTTTCACTTTTCAGAGGCTGTCTGATTCCGCCCGAACCACCCTTCTGCATATAAACATGGGTATTTAGGCCCACATTTTGCCACTAACATTTCCAGGGGATATTACTGTAAAAGCAATCCCACCAAAAGCAGGATCGCACACCACAGAATTAAGTGCCGTGTAATACTGGTATTGTAATATTGGTAGGCTGGGTCAAGTGCAATTTTTTAATATCTCGGAGTGATAATAGATAATTAAATTTGTTCTGAAGCATTTTGGATTTACGCATTTTTCATAATTTGTCCAGTACCAAAATCTTGTATCTTATATATACAGTTGTATATGTATAAGATATATACTGAACTCACCTTCCTATGGAAAGAACAGTCTTCCGATTCTTCATCTAAGGAAGGTAGAAGAGACACCATTCCTCTTTTTTTCAACTACAAAAATACACACAAAGAGACAGTCCAATTATTCATGACAAGAACAGTAAAAGCATCTTCTCTTCTTCCTGTAAACCAAAACAAAGTTACCATTTGGAGTCCACTTTTGGGGAAGCACTGGACATCTGCCATCCTATATTAAGGCAATTGAAAGCTGCAGGTACTAAGCATCTCTGAAAATTGGGACTTCTCTCTATGCTGCAATATTTCAACATCACAGCTATAATTGGGACAAATTTTGTTTTGCTCCATGAAAACAATTTACTGAAAATCCCAGAACAACTGATTATCAACAAAACTACACACTGAGCATGTCGCTGCTGATTGCTTGCTTGATGCAAACTTCACGTTGGATCTGCTCACGCTACAAAAATAACCAGAGGCACATCTCTCTCCCGCCTTCTCCTAGACATGCATCATCCTCAGTCCTTCTGGGACCATTCAGAAGCACAAAGGGGAGGAGGAGTATTATTGATTTACAGCTGCAGGGGTGCTCCTCTCCCATGCCACTCCTCCTGGAGGAACAAAGGTTATTTACCTTCCCTCTTCAGCTCTCCATAAGTGATCACAATGTGGTTCTCCACTTACCTGCTGACCAGAAATGTCAGTCCCAATCAAGTCACTTTGTGCTAATACAAAGGCTGTGGGTTCATCTCCTGATTCAGGCACTTCTTGCTGTAATCGCTGGTGAAGCTCAGACATTGAATTCTTCATCCTGGTAAGGACATCTTCCTTTCTTTGGCACAACTTTATGATTTCTTCTTTCACAGCTTCCATTTCTCCCTAGGGAGCAACAACATCTGTAAGCATCCATTTTTCTTACTTAACCAAACAGTAACGTAACAGATGATACCGGTGATGCATCTTACTGGGATTGGGGCTATTTGCCCTTTTTCCTTTTTCAGGGCATTAGGACAGTTCCCCATTGTTGCTGCAGGAGATGACCAGACACAGGCAAAACAGCCACAACAGATTCAGTTCAGAACTGCACTTGCCACCTGTAATGCAGAAGTTGGTAGTCTGAAAGGAAATACAAAAGGCTGGATACTTCATTCTAACTAGGTCCTGCATAGCCACAGGGAATACAAGTTTCCTTCAGGACAGAGGGAATGCAGCTGGGTTACATTACTCGGTGTGTCAGAGCAGGTGATGTTACTTCCAACTACCTTCTCTGGAAACCTGATTCAAAACACTTGGGATAGCCTTGATGATGGCAAAGACAGCAATAAGAGTAACTCTGGGCTGAGTCGTCTTTGCTGAAGTTAGCCTAAAATAAGGAAACACAAACCATTCGGTGGGTTTTAGTAACATGGCTAGGGACAAAACTATCCCATGTCTTTGAATGTGATACTGGGGAGCAATAGTCCCCAGCAAAGTACAAGGAAAATATTTAATGTTCTGCAGGGATTAAACAATAACCCAAGTAACTCCACGCTCACAAAGGAGGAAATAAATCTGTCTTGGTCTCCTCCCTGGCCATGACGACTGCTCTAGGCAGTGTTCTGCCCTTAGAGCTTTCTGCTAGGGCTTTTCCTCTTCACCCAGTCTCCAGGTGACCAAAGAAAGCACAACAAATAACAGAGTAAGACAAGGCAAGGAATAAAATGCCACACTCCCTTCGTTACTAAAAGTGCTAAAGCTCTTTGAAGCATTGATGCTTGCTCAGAAAACTAAAACGTGGCTAAATATCCACTGAGCACACTGCCCTCAGTCCACCGGAGACAGCTTTGATGCTAGGCTTGAAATAATAACAGCACTGATTCCACACCATGCTCTGTGGTGGTGTGAATAATGCTATGCAAGTAATAATCTGTTGCAGATGAAAGCAGTAAGACTGCTGGTCTGTCTCGATGACAGCTTCTTCTGTTAATAACACTAGTGCGGCTGCGTGATTGGGAAGGTGGAGGCAGGAACCCCCGCAAATTTTCAAAGGACACGGGAACTTTGCTCAGACAAGGATGTTTTTCCCTTTGTACACCCAAAAACACAAAGTAAAATCTTCCAAAGCTAGAGGCAAGAAAAAGTCATTGGAATGAAGAAACAGCTATCCATGATAATTTAGCATATTTTTATAAACGTCCACTAAGAACAGTGTTTCCATTTATTTCATTGCAGGCGGAGACCTTACAGCACACGTTTACCAGCTACTGCTTTGCAAACTTAACTAGCCAAAAACCTCCTCAGAAACCAAATCTTTATTAACTTTACTTCTTCATCTGAAGCCCCTCAATAAGATGGGCAATTCCATTGCCCACTTCTATTCATGGAATGCTACAATCATGAAACAGGTTTTCTTCTAAAACAAGAGCTACTAAACAGAAAGTCCTACACAAAAAAAAAAACAAGTAAGAATCATGAAATGAGTCACGCTTAGCACTAGCATCAAGCCTCCAACATCCAACCACCTGAAAGAACAGCTATGTACTTAGGAGCCTACCGAGTGATTATAGTTATTAAGCAAGTACAATGTATGTGTATTAACATTATTGTGACTGACTGCAAAAAGCTGAGCATTTCAGAGGCACTTTATAAATAGTTATTACACTTAATTAGCAATTTCCTGACTTCTGCAGTGCTGTCCTTAAAACACATCTTATTTTTCCATTAAATAATCAATTAATCCATTACAAAAAGCAGCTGACTGCAGGGAGAAAAGCAACACATGCTTATCAGTTGATGAAAACACAGTGTGGCAGTGAGGACGAGGAAAGAAGTCTAAAGAATCTAACCCTAACCAGTATCACCAAAAGTACCATTGCACGGGCAGAGATCAGAAATGGACCCAGTTCTCTCCTTCTACAATATCCTAAGCTGCTACCTCAGCAACGTTAGCAGGATGCTGAGCACAGGTAAGCCATCAGTGCTGCATACTGTTTCACCAAAACGGTTGTCAGCTGTCATGAAAATGGCACTCTAAATTCTCCTTAGAGGTTGATATAGGTACAAATGACACATCGAAGTCAAGAAAGAGTATGACAGGTACACCTGACTCGCAAACTAATATTAACTGTAATATCATCTGGTAATGTCAGCTTATGTATGCACAGTCACACCACGGCATTCAACTGCCTGCTTGACTGTGGTGGGGAGGGGAAGCATACTGCTGTTTTTCAGTGCTCTCGTCATCACAATCAGCGTTAGTCAGGACAAATAAGAGACATGAGAGAGAAAACAATGAAACTCACCTCTGGACAAGTCTTCTGAGCCAGTGGTTGATCTTCATGTGATATTTCAACCAAGTGGTTCTTTAAGAATTGTTTCAACTTTTCAATTTCTTGTTCACATTCTTCTGTTTTCTTTACAGCTTCCTGTAATATAGTAGTTCTCATAAATCACTTTGAATTAACTAGTACAGGCACAAGCTAGTCAGTAACGCAACAAACTTACACTGAAGAGTACTGAAGCCTCCTTTGCAGCTGTAGTTACACGTAAAAGAAACTGTGTTTGTTCTGCTAACTTTGCACAGCCCTATCATCACAAAGTTTATTATTCACTTGCTCAAGACAAACAAACTGATCTACCCACAAACGGAAGTATGGTGTGGTATTCTGCTTAGGAGCACATCTTTGCTTACTCCACAGCAAAGTTATGAATTTGGCTATAAAACGTAAAGAAGGCACGTTTAATTACATTCACTACAATATAGGACAGGTTGAAAAAAAAGAGAAATTACAGGGTTTCCCATCAAGTTAAAAAACCTACCTGTTTTTTATTGGTGCTCAAGTCTTTACTGCCAGTTACTTCTGCACTGACCAAAACCAAACTGTGCTGCACACCAGGCAGACACTGCAGCTCAGAGGATAAGTCAACCGCAGTATCTGACAATTTGAATACTTCCTATAAAAATGGTAAGTATTCCCACTTCGTGTGAGCTTCCTCTTCTCACATGACTTACAGAGCACCATATTATATGTTATAAACAGCTAACTTCACTTTTACTCATTTGACCATGACAGCAAAATCTCATCAACCCCCTGTGCTTTACTGTCCAGGCAGAAATCGGCAATCTCCCCACACACATTGCTCGTGTTGGTCAGCCACAACCTGTCACAATGTCTCAAGTCATTAAGAAATTGTTACATCTACAAATTAGAATAGTTTGTAAAAACATTTAACTCGCAGAACGTTTGGAGGCTCCGTGTTCTCTGACCGCAGGCTGAGAACCAAAGAATATCTAATGACTCTTCCTCAGGTGTCTGCAAAAGGTAACGAAGAAAATGCAGCCTGTTGTCAACAGGCTTGACCTGACTCTGCTGACAGCAGCACCTGAACAGCCTGTCAGGTCAAAAAATCTCTCTGCAAAGCATGCACAGACTCTGTCTTTCAGAGCAGAGTCTCTCCTCCTATGAACAGCAACAGTGCTGTTTCCTCCGTCGCTTCTTCACAATAGCACTCCCTCCCAAAAAAATGCAAACTAATAAGATTCTAAATGATTTTTTTTTAACTTACAAGTTTTAAAAGGAAGACAAACTATTTTCCTCACTTGAAAAAAAAAAAAAAAGCCAAATTGGAGAGCATGATACTTTATTGTGCTCTATAATCTTAATGCCA